TTCTATCCCTTGGGGGTCGGCGGCTGCAGGCGGTAGCCTGGTAAATAGATTGTCCAAACATGGTCAACCGAGCTCCAGGTTTTCACCCACTGCCATGTCTTCCAACCCACGGAACCACCCTTCGAGAGTTGGTGATTCTATGTGATTCTTAGAGTTAATTCTTAGTGGTGGGGGATTCTACTCATTTCCACATCCTGCCACAGCTATAAAGTCAATCATAGATAGATAGTCTTCAGGTGCCAGGTTTCCGGCTTTGAGGTTTCCACCGAGACTGAACCTTCTCGCCTTGCTCAGGGCATCGTAGACCTGGAAGATCTCCTGAGCCGCTTCCGCGCCCAGCTCCGAAGCGACTCCGGCCCCTATCACGAGCTGTTCCCGTCGGCGCCGGACACCGAAAGCACACGTCCGGGGAGGCCGACCGGTCCGTGGGATGATTTCCTTTCGGCTCGCTGCGCAACGGCAACGTTGCGCTGGTGCCGGTGCTGTCGGGTCGGGTCGTCGTCTCATCGGTCCTCGGGCTTGGAATACAAATCCTCAGGATTGGCATCCTCGTTGTTCACGCCATCTTCCTCTCCACCAGTGATCCTGGAGCCAAACAAATGGTCCACTCCCCCGCTTCACGAGCATGTCCTGGAAGAGGTCCAAGGGTACCGAGGCTCAATTCTTTTTTTTTTTACAGAACAGGTTCAATACATTTTCATTCGGGGATCGAGGCGTTCTTCTTGCTTCTCCAGTGAAAAAGCCTCCGTGGATGGACAGAAAGCCATGTCCGTTCACGTGGGTCCAAAAGTGACTCGCAGGCTGGTGCTCTGTCTGTGGCTCCCGGCCCCAGCTCCATCTCCAGGCCGCAGTTGAACTTCGCCATGCGCTCCAAGTACTTCACCTCAGTGGCGATGACGGATGAAATTGCGTGGGGGCGGGGTGGAGCAGCTGGTTTTCTTTTTTGGAACCAAGTAACAGTCACCCTGCCCATGTTGAAACTGCACAGGAGGAATCCATCCACGGCCTGTGTGGCAGGCAGACCGGGGCCCGTCTGAGCGCCAAACGCAAATCTCGATGTTCTCTTCCAACGGCTCCTGGCGCGACGTCGCAGTCGTGCGGTCAACGATCTCTTGTTGCAGACTGTTCGGTTCAACCTCAGATCAGGTAAGAAACACCAAGGGAAGTCAAGGATTTGGGTGGCGGATTGAATGTGGCTTCCATGGCCGTCGTGGTGAGCCTTCCGAAAGCGGTCGCCACTTCACTCGGAGAGACCAGGGCCTCGACAGAACCCCGTCCTCGGAAAGGTCCAGCATGTGGGAAGAGAAGAGAGGCTCACCCTGCTGCTCGAAAAAGCGCTCCTGGGCACCGCAAAATGGGCCAGGCGTTTGTTTAAGCAGGTGTTTTGTTCCCGTGTGGTGGGCGAACCTTTGCATCTGGACATATCTTCAAATCTTTCATGTAAAACATATGGCAAAAGGGATTCTTCATTGGTTCCTTTGTGGATCGCCCTCTTGCGACGGGTACGACGTCTTCCTGTTGGAGACACTCACTTCGATCTCGGTGACCAACGGGTTGGCCGCATGGGTCGCTGCGGGTCGCCGCGGCGCACGGAGCGTCGTCGTCTTTTCGGAGTCCGCGGGCCGGGCGGTCCGGCTCTTGGGCGTTTTTGGTCGATCTCTCGCCGGAAAAAGGGCTGAGACTGGGCCAACTGCCGCATCTCTTGACGTTGGTGCCATTGAATTGAATAGTATCTTCTGCTTGAGGAGTGTTCGTTTGGACTTCCACTTTCACCGGGAGAGAAAGAACCCACCGGTCCGGCTCGAGCTGCCAAGGACTGTTGCCTCGCCGGGTCTACGGCCGCGCCAACGGGTCGTCGAGACGGGCCGCGCGTGTCACGAGACGAAGGGACGCAGTGCCTCGACACAGGAGACCAAGGTATGGTAGTCACCTGAGAGCAGCGTTGGACTGTCTCGTGTGTTGGACACGGCAGCTGGGACATCGGTGTAGACCAGGTCACCAGTGGAGGGTTGACCACTGGGTGGAAGAGAAACAGGAGCAACAGCAGCAGTGACCAGGTGAGGTGACCAGGTGAGACCCGGATTTGGCATGGACTTACCCAGTGGAATCATAGGCAGAAAAGGATGTAAACATCTGAAGCTCTTCCAAGGTCACACTTACCACCAGCAATGGCCTTCTCGTCATTCATGCGCTTGTTGTCGCGCGACATCTTGAAGCACAACCAGCCTCCATGTTCGTGATCCACCCAATGCTCCCAGCAGTACTGCCAGAGGCACACGAACTTCTCCACATAAATGGGATCCTTCGTGGCCTCGTAGAGCAGCGAAGCCGTTGCGATGGACTCTCCTTGCACCCAGAAATACTTCTCTTCATCACCTGAGGATTTGCTTCATGGTCAGAACAAACAAACGAACGACTCTCCCCAATAGAAAAGAACACACATGTCAGTCACCACGCGCACGCATTTCTCTAAAGAACACACCAAAATCTGACATGACATCCTTTCCCTCTCCCCAACCCTCCCAGTCCACACCGCCCAGTCCACACCCCCCCCCAGGTCAACTGGAGCGTCCGACACCGAACGTGTTGGTGAACTGCGTTGGTCACCGCGTCGTCCGAGTCACACCAGGTGCGATCGGGGCCAAAGCCATAGACCAAGCCCCCGAAGACTGGATCCCAGGACAAGGTCCAAGCTCCATCGAAGAGCTCCTTGGCACGATTCACCTGAGGTGAGGGGAGGTGAGGCGAAAGAAAGAAGTGAGGGCGGAGGGAGGGGCTGGAGGACATTCCGTTTTCTCTTTTTTGGAAAGAACAGACATCCCCTTCAATCCATACATCCGAGGACCCTCTCAGGGTCTTTTGTTTCTGTTTTTTTGTTGTTCATCCGTTTGACGTCCTAGTCGCCATCCAAAACTTGGGTCGATGACGATGAATATTCAGCAAATTCTTGGCCCATTCGATCTGATGTCCCGGCTGAAAGCCCCAGGGGCGATAGATGTTGGAGGGGTCGTTCTTGTTGTAGTCCTGGGATGAAAACAAGGTGAAGACACGAAGACAAAGCTTTTTCAGGCTACTAGGGTCTCCTGGCCTTATTACTAGGAGCAAGGACGCTACTAGGGGCTCCTGGCATCATAGCAACTTTTTCCAAGTATTTATACCGGGTCGAAAGATGACAGAAACAACACCTCAGAGTGAAAGAAAAGAACAAAAGAAAGAAACCACCTGAAGTTCCCACATCGATCAGGACTCCCAATCGATCTCGAAATCGACGGTGTAGTGCTCCCACACGAAGCCACCTCCCTTGGCCGCCAACGTCGAGGCAAACGTCTCGGCCAGGACCTCCGCGCGGTCCAAGTAGCGCACGTCTCCCGTGGCTTCCTCGACGAGGTGACGGCGGAATGGGCACGGGCGAGGTGACGGCGTTGGGCACCGGGAGAGAGGAAGAAAACCATGAAATAAAGAAAGACCCACGACTCTTCCTGCAAATATGTCCAGCAAATGCTCTGGGTGTGAAATTTAATGGGTAGGCTGCTCCACTTCCATGTGTGTTGGAGGGAGGGTAGATTCCCTTTAGATCTCTCTTTCCTGTTCTCAAAATTTCATCAAACGATTATGGCCATCGCTCTTAGGTTGGAGGCCATTCCTATTAGGTTTCTTTCATGCTCAGAAGGCATCTTTGGAAGAACCATGAAGAACCCCAAAAACACTGACCCCACCAGTGTCAAGCTTCAAAGGCCGCAATCAGCGCTTCACACATGTGCATGTTGGAGTTTTGTCCCCGGTAGCTGTTGTCCACCACGCCTTCTGCGCTGATGGTATCCAAATAGGCGCCCTTCTCCGGCAACCAAAACTTCCGCTCGAGCATGTCAAAGACTCGAGCGACCTCTGCGTTGCTGTCCGTCACGCCCGCAGTTCGAGCAGCGGCATGAGCAGCCAAAACGAAGGCATAGCCATAGGCTTGTTCCACCATGTCTTTGGGCTTGTGCTTCTCCACGGTAAAGGCATAGCTTTGCTTCTCCGGCACATAATGAACCTTTTCCAGGTACTCCAAGCCATGCTTACCGATCTTCAAGAGCTCCGGATCCTTCAACAGCTTCCCGGCCAGCATGAAGTTGATGACCATCCGCGCACTGGACACGATCTGCCGGAAGTCTTCGTTGAACTTGGTGCCATCGATTCGAAAGCTCTGAAAGAAGCCGCCACTGGGATCCAAGGCCCTCACCTTGTAGAAGGCGATGATGTCAGCGATGTGCTGAAGCAAAAAGTCCTTGCTGAAGAAACTGTCCGGCTTCTTTGGCTTTTTGGAAGGACGCTCCATGCTGCGGAGAGAGGATATAGAGTGGTTTGGTCTCTCCTATGTCCTATATACCTATAGCGTTTTCACTACCCTTCGTCTAGGGCTCAAAACTCCTCAAGGAGATTCAACGTTTCAATCTTGGATCCGCCCATGTGTTGATGCACAAAGGCCAAGGGGCCCTCGTTTTAGGCTTTTGACCAGCTAGGACTTGGACAGCGTTATGGTCATGGTGCATGCTCTGGGAGCAAAAATTCACGGAGAGACGAGGCAGAAATAAGCAGAATCTTTGCGTTTGGCTCGTGCTTCGGTACTTTCATCATCCTAGGCATCGTGTGCTTTCAACCACCACACGTGTCCCTCATCTCCTGTCGAACATGGTAACCTTGGAAGCCTGCAGCATTTCGTCTCCCCGTGCCCCCCAAGCACAAGCGCAAGCAGCCAAGCTTCGACCCCCCCAAAAACCCCCAAACGAGATCCGGTGAAACCCTCCGTGCGCCCGGACATTGGCTTCCATAAGGCCGTCGAACCATGGCAAGAGCTTCTTGGCACAGTGGTCCTGCCACGGACTGGGAAAAGAACACATGGCCAACATGAGATCCATCACATGAGATAGAAAAAACCTTATGATCAGAACATGAGATCCATCATGCTCATGGCACACACACACACACATTTTCCTTTCTCTCTTTGTCTTCAGAACATGACCTTGACCGGTTCTGGATCTTCCAACCTTGGGAAACAGTGAAGACATGGGAACTGATGAACCCTCACAGTGAAGGCCCACATGGGAACTGAGCTCTTCCGAGCTCTTCACGCCCCGTCGCCAGCGCTTCAGCGCCCCAGCGCCCCCAGCGCCCCTCGCCCCTCTCCGTGTGCAGGATCACGGGCACACCGTACTGTTCGGCCACCGCGCGGACGTGGTACCTGACAGGTCTATGAAGACTCCCAATTTGCATTGTCACTTTCTTCCTGTTTGGGTTCCCCCGAAAACGTCTCTGTTTTTCTCTACCCTGTCGACCCCTCAAAGGTGAATCCCGGATCCCGGATCCCACTCCCACGGAGGCCACGCTCCCGAGACGGCGCCCGCGATGGCCGCGTGGAATTGGGTGTTGTCCAAGCCCTTTCCCGCGTAGAACCTCGGACCGCCCGGTCGGTCAGACCGACCCGGTCGGACGGGGCGTACGATGCGATCCGGGCGAGGTACGACGTGACGTACGGCGTACACGTCCATGGTCAGCGCGTGCAACCGGGGGAAAGGGATTCATGGATGCCAGAACCAGGAGTCACAAAGGGGTGCCTATTGCCACTCACTTAGGGACTAAACACCACCCCTTTGTGACCCCTGGAACAGGAAATGGATTGACTCTTGATCAAGAACAAGAACCCCTTCCCCCAAGGACATTGGAGTAACACCTATAGTTGAACGTCAAAAGGTGCTCCCACCACGTCCACGTCCACGAGGACCTTGAGACACCACGTCCACCTCCCCGTCTCCGGGCTTCTGCACTGAGCTCCACCCGCCGAGAACTGGATCATGATGGGAGCCTCAGCGGCGACCGGGGTGGCGGGTGGGGCAACCAGTGGCACCAAATGGGTGGAGGAAGATCCGGCGAGAGGTCTTGGTAGAGGTCTCTTTTTACAGAAGCCGGTAGTTGTCTTCCCAAAAGGCGCATGGTCTCCTCGTCTTTTTCGGTCACCTAAAGACACCTGGGGACGCCTAGTGACCTCAGCGAAAGAAATCCTTATTCTTTAAAAACTCTTCTTTCAATTCCCTCATCCTTTTCACCTCTTCTCTCTGACATGTTTCTCCTTTCTTCTTTTCTCTTTTTCTTTGGACCCTCCAGAACCTTTTAATTACTCTTCCCCCTTTTTTTTTTCTTTCTTTCTTTCTTCTTTCCTCCACAGTCTCAATAGAGCACTTCATCCTCTGGGTCTTCCTGACATCCATCTTCCTGGCCGCCTCGATGCAAGCGTTGATCGAGGAGCTGGACACGCCTCCGTGGCCGCGGACGAAGCGCAGGTGCGAAGCGGCAGCGGCAGCCGCTGGCGCTCCGCTCGGAGATCGTAGCGGCATAGCGTTGTTCGGGGTGTCAGGGGGTTGCTGAGGTAGAAGAGGCAAGCCCTGCAACAGCTGTTGTAGGATTGGTGGCTGCCCCAGGATGGCTCAAACCCAAACCACGACTCTGCCGAATCCGCCGTGGCACAATTCACGGCGGGGATGGCATAGCCGTTCTCCTTCGCATGGTTCAGCAGGTCCTTCAAGGCCTCGTACGAGCGAGCGTCTGCCGCAACCGGTTTGGACGCTTTTTTAGGGTCTTGTCACTAGAAAGCCTTCTATAGCATCCAAACTGTACCTTGAACATCCTTGGAACTCGAACATCTACACAACAACTGGCCACTTGCTTCATCCTTGTACCATTCATCCCCACATCGCATGCCGCATTCCGTTGCTTCATCGCCCCCATCCCTCGCCTGGCCCGTCACCACGCCCGGGTGCACGGTCCTGGAGCATCCCGAGCGGAGGCAAGTCGTATCACCACGGTGGCTCTCTACGGATCTGTTTGGCATCAGAGATGGAGCTGAAGTCCAGTCTCCATCTCTACCGCAAAAAAGACATCACCAGAACGCGACGAGGGCCGGGGCAAGAACGGAGCCTTACGAACGGAGCGATCGGACGCGACGAACGGGGCTCATTCCCGTGACGAACGGTATCAGTGGATCTCTCACTGTCTGTTCGGACACCACAAGGTCAGGGCGTGCGATTGGCAGAGGCACCACAAGCGCAAAGGATGAAGTTTAAAAGCACATCAAAGCACACACACTTACACGCACGTGAATATTAAAATCCCCCTGCTTTGAACATCTCTCTTCCCGAAAGTGAAGCAGTGTTTCAATGCCACTTGACTTTCCGGTGTTTCCATGAAACACGTTTTTCCATGCGCCGCGCGACTGCAACTGCGACGGTGTCTGGGCACTCCAGGCTTGGGCATCTTGGGGAAGACGCCCAGCGGCGCTTCGCTGCGCGAGAGCACCGGGAACCTCGCGCAGCGAGGTCTTCGCGCGCAGCGCGCAGCGCGCGACCGAGAAGACACCGGTGCTTTTGGAGATACCGGTGCGGTGCTCCAAGAATTCCGTGGTGAAGATTCGGTGAAGAGTTCCGCGCGGATGGAATGTTTGGAACCTTGAGAAACAAGAAGCTACGAACGGGGCTGGTCGTTCGTTTCGGGGCTGGTCGCTTCGCCCCCGAACGGACCATCCCGTTCCTCATCTCCCGACCATCGCCTCTTCTCATCAATCGCCTCAAGCATGGTGCCAATGGGAAGGGACCTTCCTAGGAACGTCTCCACACAACATCTTCTATTTCTAGCCGGACTGTTTTTCTAAGTTCATTTCGAACCATCTCTGTTTCTAAAGACTCTAGAGTCACAATCACGATCCCAAAGGCCTCATGATCTCTTAGAAGGACTCTGAAGAACAAAGACTCATGTTCCGACTTCAAAGGCCGGACCACCGTTCCAGCGCTTTCTGGCCTGCGCTTTCCGGGAGGTTCGCATGGAGCGGCGGCAGGCCAAGGCACCCAACCTGGCTCCAGCCGAGCCCCAAAACGCGAGCAAAACGGCTACTAGGAGCAAGAACGCTACTAGGGGCTCCTGGCCTTACTACTAGGAACAAATAGCTACTAAGAACAAAGGGCACCGCTACTAGGAGCACAACGGCTTTTGCAAGAAAGGCTTTGGGCACAGCTCGACCTTCAGTGCCAATGTCGTCTCACTCAACACCACTCAACATCCACCATGAACATCATGAATATGATTTTCCACCAACAAGCAGTGCATTCCAAAGCACCGATTCGGCTCCGACCGATTCGGATCTAGAGCTTTTGACCCGGCTCCAACACAGCTTTCCCTCCGCATGCCACGTGAAGCCAAGCCAGGGCGACGCCAAGCCGCTGCTCAACTTCATCAGGGTCTCGGAAAGATTCCGCGCTCACAAGAATGATTTGGTTCCTAGATTTCTTTTTTGGGACACTTGTAGCTTTACTATAGTAGCTTCTTTTTTTCGAAAGATTTCGGAGTTCAACAGAAACACTCAATTGGCCATCCATGGAAGTTTTTTGTTCTCACAAGATGTTTCTGGCTTTATTTGTTCAATCCACTTGCAGGTTTTCCGCATGCCTTCTTCCTTTTCCGCATGGTCTCCGGTTCACGTCCGTCTCTCCTCTTCCGCCTCTCCGGTTGGTCACCGGCCCCACCACCTTTGGCCCCTGGTCCCCGGACGGGACCCTGCCGCGCTTCATCGCCCTGCCCGGGTTGGGTGGTGCGGGCCGCGAGGGCCTGGCGCGCGATGGGAGATCAGTCTTCGGACACCTTGACGTTGGGAAGATTGCTGCCTTGGCAAACCTTCCAAGATCAAGAAAGGACAAGGTTGAGCTGGTTTTGTAGTCTATACAAGTATCATCCTTTGCAAAAAAACACTTCGTGTGAGACAAAGAACTGGTTGGTCTTTGGTGAAAACACAATCACATCAATGATGTATCGACATTTTCATACCTATTTTCAGTGGCATTCTGTCTCTGTGGATCAACATGACGACCCGCTCGCGTCTCCCTCTCCACTCCTTTGGAGCCTGGGCAGTGGGGGTCACCTGGGCGCGGCGGAGAGCGTCATTGGTGTCCGGCAGGGCTTCGAGCAAGAGCTGAAGGGTCGGAGAAACTCGACAGACTGGGCTCCTGGCATTACTATAGTAGCATTCTTAAATCCACATCCACCATACTAGCTTCTTGTTACTACGTTCGTAAGGCACCTGTTACTATACTGACTGCATTCCGACTCGAGCCCGAATCGAACTCCTTCGTCTTCGGGCAGGCATTTTCCGGGGATCCAGAAAGGGGGGGGGGAACAGCAGAACGCGAAGACGGTGGATTGACCGTGGCTCCCGGGCTGCCACGTTGGTGAAGGCCACAGCACTCATCGCCTTGGAGCTGCTGTGGCGTCCACGTGCTCTACCCGGCCATCGGGTGGGCCGGAATCAGATGTGGAGAATCTGATCTGGGTGGGTGATTCTTCTTGGAATGCTTGAGAAGAATGCTACCATTCAAAGCGCTTAACAGCAAAACAGTAAATCATTGTGAATCAAATTGAATCAAGATAATTGTCTGTTAATCAATGGCAACTCTTGAGCTGCCCATTGCTCCTTGCACAGTGAAGACTGGCACGGGCTACTCCTTCTGGCATTTCCTACACTTCCGGACTCCCAGAACGAGCAGTTTGAAACGCTCAAAGGGTGTCGGATCGTCAGTGAGACGTGGCGAACAGGTTCCTCGTTCCGTCGCGCCGAAGACCGTCTCACCCTTCTCGAAAACAGCGGCATGCTCTGGCGCCAACCCCTACTGGCCTCTTAGTGCTCAAACCAATGTGGCCTTGTCTGCCATGCCTCTGTATAAACCTAATCAAGCACGGCTGAGCTCCTGGCCATGTCGAGATAGGCGGAAATGGGAAATGCGTGAAGCGGAACCGAGTTGCTCTTTGCGAAGCTTCGAACTTCAGCCAACTGCGGATTCGACCAAGGGATACCAAGAGATAGGAAGAAAGGTAGGGCAAATCTGCACCAAAATGGCCGTTTCTCCAAGATCCTTTTAAAACAAACCAAGTGGGTTCGTTCTATCTATCTATCTGTCTATCGTTCATAAGTCACTGACACAAAGAAAGGACCGATGAAGTCGACCGAACCATGAACCGGCTCACCCGTCCGGCTCACCCGTTCGGCGCCGCGGCGAGAGAATCGGCGCCATCGTCTCTTTTCGCTTCAGAAGCCACGCAGGGTGGGTCCCTGGAAGTTCAGATGCTCTGCGATCTTCTGCAATTCCTGGGATCGGCGCCGCTTTTGAACACCAACGCGGGGGTTTTTCGATTGGTTCACGGTCGCATGGGATGGGCATGTCTGGATGGATCTTCGTGGGGTGAAGGACCGTCACAGCGTTTCGGACCGTCTCCAAGGCGTGAAACTTCGAATAGATCAAAACAGGACTTCGCCTGCGATTTCCCCAAGTTTTTCATTCACATCCTTCCCAATCCTTCCCTTCTTCAATGGTTGGATCTCCACCTCTGGAAGTTCCCCGTGTGTGGCACGGAAGGCCTCGCGGCAGGTCACCATCTTCTTCAGAGCGCGAGCTGCTGAGATGCCAACGCCTCAGGCAAGTTCTGGTGTTCTCTTCATGGGTGCAAAAACGGGTGAAACATAGTTTCAAAGACTGAGTGCTTCAGTGCTGGTGCTCCCCAAACCACGGTAGATCTTCTGCACTAAGAGCAATCCCTTCCACTAAAATCTAACTCTTCCCTGACCTGGACCATTAGACCATATTAGACAAGGGGTTCTGTCAAAGCCAAGCTTCTTTGACCTCGTGGGCAGTCCTGCAGACAAGGAGGCTGAAAACCCACTCTTAGGCATTTTCTCTGTGGTCTTTAGCACTCAAATCACCAACCTATGCAGCCTATCAAACCACTGTTTCTACGACCATTCTATGGGCCTGGCCACGGTTTCCACGACCGTCCACACCGTCCTTGCTGATCTCTTGATCTTCGAGTCTCACCTGCCGTCGACGCCGTCGGAGTGGGACATTCTCGGGTGATGGAACGTTGCCCAACAAATGGGCGATGGAAGGATCAAGGGCTTGACCTTCAAATCGCCCAAATCCAAGTGAGCTTTCAGAGTCAGAGTCGTTCAGGCATTCTGACATCTGAGACTCACCAGCTCCTGCGCCAGCCACCCTCCCAGCCAGCCACCCCTGTCTCCGCGTTTCGCCGGTTCCCGCACCCTCAGCGCTTCAATGGCTTCGCCGTGACCCGCCGGGGCGACCTGCCACAGACCTGACCCGAACGGAGGACTGACCGGAGGAGGTTGGAGGTCTCTCTGTCCGGACGTGGTGCAATTCGATGTAGGACATAGATGTGTTCTTCGGATTTGAGTGTGAGGTTGTGCTTGTGATCGCGGAATTCGTGAAGGCGAAGTCTTTTGTTTGGCGGATGCTCGCGCTTGGAAGGCAGTCACGGTCCTTCGTGCGGACCGGATCTGACCTTTTCGACCTTCGTCGACCGAACTTCGTCCGTAGCGCCGAGCCACTTCGGACCGCGGCCAAGCGCACGTCCACCGACTCATCCTGGCCGAAAAGCACCCGTCGCGTCTGGGAGGGCGTCTGGAGGAAGACTGGTGGGAGAGGCGATCACGACACCAGCGGGCAACAAACAGCCCGTTCGAACGCCAGGATGCAAGTTGCTCGGAGGCCATCGCTAGTAGGTTGGAGCAAGGAGAGCTCGCAGAAATTCCCATTGCTTTCATTTGCTTTCAAAAGTTGATGGGTCAAAAAAGGACATCTGGCACTGGGCTGTCGGATGCAAACAGCTCCGAACAGGGTATTGGACTTGGCCACGCAAGCTTTTGCTCCAAACACACCGGGGAACGGCACGAGTTGGGAAATTGCACCATCCTTTTTTCAAGCTGCCCACGACTCCAACAACTCCATGGCACGACTCGTGACACCGCCTGCATCATGGGGAGCAATGCGTGGATGGCAGTCCCACAGCCCTTGCCTGGCACCGAGCTTACCCTGCTTATTCAAGCACAAGCCGAAGCTGCTAACCGATTTCCCCGGCATGTCTTGTCCACCATCTGAATGCCTGGCAACAAACACAATTAAAAACCACCACGGAAACATCTGAAATACCTATGATATATACCATTCAAACGACATCAAACAACCCTTAAGCACCTGTGGATTTCCCTTCTCCCCTTGTTGCTTCAGCGGCGCCTGCCACGCGAGGGATCGCCTGCACCGCCGACTTTCGCACCAGCGGGTCCTGCGAGTTGCGGGGCGGGGCGATGGGACCACTTCGCACCTGGAACCTGGGGGACAAACCGGTGGTTTCACGTGGGAATTTATAGGGAGTTATTACTACTATACCCTAGGGGGGGCTCCAGTCGTACCCCCTTTCAGAAGGCATGACTGGACCCTCCTGGCACCCACCTCAAACAGCTTCGAAACGAAGGTACGACTGGAGCCCGTACGGGATATACTTGTCCTTTGAATGGTCCTTGCCAACGTGTGGAGGTTTCTTGAAGTGACTTGCTTCAGTACCACTTTAGTTCCATCTGATAGGCACCGCTCCCAAAGCTAGACTCAGAACGAACACATATTTCTCTACTATCAAGTTCAGCGATTGCAAGTAATACATGGGCTTTTTTCCCCAAACCATCCCCCCCAAAACAACACCTCCATCTTGGGACTTCCTGTTTTCGCCAGGCCCACGCCGACCTCGCGCACCCCTCCGGACCTTTTTCCTCCCCCGCCGACCGTCGCCCACAGCGACGTCAGGCGCCCAGCGCGCGGAGCGCTGCGGCGGCCGCCAGCTGCTCGGCGTCCTAAGTGAGTGGATGTTCTGGGCACCCCGACTCCCTCCATGGATAGCACCCCTTTCTGACTGCTGGTACTTTATAGTATTTCAAACAAAATAGCCTGTTGGTTTGAAGTTTCAGTCAGACCATCAATTTCCAGTAGCCCTTTCAAGGCCAACGAGATCGATCGACCCAATGTCCACCGGGTCCTTCTTCTTCGCGGCCGCTGCGCCGCTGAAGCTTTGCTCCAAGGGCATCACCTGGCAGCTGGGCGCCGCATGTGAAACAGTCAGGAAGGCATGTGAAACCTTCATATATGGTGATCCGATTCTTCAGAAGATGGGTCACATTCTTCAGATGACTCTTGAATACCTAGAACTGACCTTCTCTTAGGGATGTGATCCAAGAAGAGGTCACTTCTCCACCAAGCTCGGGTCTTGAGGTACGCACTCAAGATCCCACTAGTTAAACATTTTGATGCTTCCTTCCTGAACAAAAACAACTCATGGAACGAGGATGAACCAGGCATCTTTTGGACATCCCATCTCGCGCTTTTCGACCGCCTTGACGGTGCTCACAAAGCCCTGGGGCGTGGGCCCCGTGGCATAGGTCACCAGCTCATCCGCCGGCTTTCTCCATTTCTTCAAGGCCCAATCCTCAATGTTCGGTGCGTGCTCCGGACTTCACCTTGGCGTCGTCTCCTGCGCCTCTCTTCACCCAAATAACACCGGTGGGGGGTTCTCTTTATGGTGCACCCTCTCTGGAGGTCTGCCGTTCCCAACGGTTTTGGACCGCGCGGCGTTCAAGCGCCCCTTGCAGTTCTCCTCCGGCGCGGCGGTGGGCGCAGTGGGTGCCGGAGCTGCAGCTGGAGCAGTGTAGTTGGTGGTCTTCATCTTGATGCCTGGTTTCCTTGGCTGGAATTCCCATGTGGATGTGGTGGTGGGGTCAATTTAGTGGATCTCTTGACAGGATTTGACCGTTTTTTACTCTCTTCTTCCCACGAAGCTCGAAGCCCAATTAACCAATCCTGTCATCCGCGATCGGCCCCTCCCTTGTAGTGCTTGATGGTTGTTCATGGCACTTTGAGTCGTTCATGGTCTCTGGTTCCATGGAACTGACTCAAAGGCCTGGTTCCTTGCATAGCAAGCACAGGCCTGTGCTTGTGCACTCACGCCACTTCAAAAGGACCAAGAGCCTGATCGCTCCATTTTCTTTTTCGTCTGAAAAAGAGAACAATCCAAAAGCTCCTCAATCCTTTCCCAAGCGTCAAGGGCATCGCCTGCGGAAGTGTGAACGTTACCCGACCGTGCGATGAGTTTCCACCAAAGCTTCTTCATTCAGAACCCCCCCCAAAAAGCCTAATAGCAATGGCCTTCAACCTAGTAGCATCTGACGCCCTTCCCAAAAAGTTCCTCCAAACAGGCCCCGTCCTCCTCTGATCCTCGAGTTCCTGGCTTCATTGCACACCGCCTCCTCCCCCTTTGTTGGCAGCTTTCGTCCAAAATCCCGGCATCTCCCAGCAACGATGCGACGCCACGTGCCACGAAAAAGGCGGAAACCAAACATCCACAGACCACGCGGTTCCTGGCCACGACCACGCGCTCCCCCCGCTTGCGCAGCGTCCCCCACCGTTCTCGGCTGGGGCCTCGCACGCCAACTTGGTGCCCGCCAGCGCCTCCGGTCGACAGGGTGGTCCCGACCGCAAGGGCGGCCCCGGTCTGTGGAAGGTTCGGTTCGGTCGGGTTCGTTGGATCCGTTTTGCTTGGGCTTTGGTATAGGCCTCTTTTTGAACTTGTTGATTGGGTGTTTGTAGAGGTTGAAACAGCCCGTGGTTTCTGTTTGGCAACCTTTTGGGGCTGATGTTGGATGCAAGAGATACCGAAGCCGTCAGCGGACTCGATGCGGGATATCCTCATAAGGCTCAGTGCGGACCACATCTGTGTGGAGTTTCAAGTGCTGTAGACCTGCATCCAACATCATTTACAGTAAGTTACACATCCACACTCTTGTCGACCCCAGAACCACTCTGTCAGTGACCTAACCTGATGGACGTCCTCCTCCTTTCGCTGGCGGTGCGCACCGGTGCGCTGACCCGTCGGTCTGGTCGCTTCGCACCTCGGCGCTGGGTTGGTTCTTGGCGTCCAAGAGCCGATTCCGATGCATGTGGATGGCCACGACGAAGAGAGCTCGCCGCTTATCCCTGCGGCTGGGTGGCTGAAGGAGGAGCGGACGATATTAGCTGTCTGAGATAGTTCGTGTCTCACTGATGTGCAGGGGGGTCAGGCCCAAAAGAAGGAAGACAAACTCGGTGAAAACAACTTTGCTTCAAGAGAGCACACATCAACTCACGCCATCATTCTTCACATCAACTCCTTCGGCCCCAGCCCTGCCAAAAGAAACACCACACATTTTAGATGCACCCTATGACCACTAAACTACAAACCCTAAATGGCCCTAAATCAATTACAAAAGACACCCTTAGTTGACGGTGAAGGTGGATCTTGTTTCGAACCCTTACCTTCATCATCGCTATCGACACCTGTCAGTTTTGGACCCGCAGCCATACCAGCAGTCGTAATTGGAAAAAAACACTTGCTGTACAACACAGAGGTGTTGCAGGAAAAAAACACACCCGGATTCGAGGATGTGTGGTTTTGGAGGACCCCCCATCTTCTTCCCACCCCATCTGCTGTGCTGCAAGGACCCCTTAGCTGGTTTGAAGTCTCCCAAACCCCCCTCTCCTCACATCGACCAAGGCTGCCAAGGCTCATGTCTTCATGCTTCAATCTCTTGGTTCGATCTGGGTCTAAGACCTCTTCCAGCTTCACATCTCTCCAGTGCTCGTTGATCTCTTGGATGCTCACGGGCTGAAAACCCAGTGGTGTGGGGTACTTCACTTCCGAGACCATCCGCCGCGTTTGCCTCGGTGGCGCAGATGCATGAGGTGGTTCGGCTTGGCCGGACCATGCCTCAATGGAGGCGCAAACACAGAGAAAACACATCACACCCACATCACTATCTCGAGATGTGGCTGGTTTTGGGGGTGGGGACGTATTGAACATTTACTTGACCAGAGCTGCCTCCCTGAAACACACGTCTAGAGCTCGTTCAGAGCATCCCCCGCGTAACGTGGTTGAAGAGAAGTCCCACATCTACCATCCTGCACGGAATGGATCCGGCTCAATCCACATGTTCAAGATGCAGCTGGAACATGTAGGCCTTTATCCTTCAACCGTTCTGTGAGTGTCATGCATGCGGCTGTCATCATCAAACACAATTGGTCCGCTCATTGTCCCAAATTGATCCCCTCATGCTCCTGATTTCCTGCAAAGCATTCTTTTCTCGTGTACAGTTAGAGGTCTGCCATCGCCACCTCCAAAGACTTTGAATGAAAACAATCAAGTCCAATCGAATCCCCTCAACTTGACCTGCTAAAATTGAAAAAAGACGAACCACTGCATCCCAGCTAAACACATGACACCCCCAAATCCACTACATCCACCAGATGAACGACCAGAACCACCACTGTTGTTCCTTCTTTCCTTCGTTTCCACCACCTGTTCCGTCCCCCCCCGCCCTGCCGTCTGGTGACATGGGATAGACGCAAACGACCTCCTCGGTGTAGGTGAAGAGATCCTCCGGGTTGATCGATTGCCCCATGGTCTTGGCGCAGTACTCATAGACGATCCTGGGTCTCGGCCGCTCCGAACCGGCGCGAACGCCGTGGGACGCCGTGGATGGCCAGGGGCCTCACTGAAAGAGGATCCGGACGCGACCGCCGGAGTCGTGGAAGAAATCTGCCATGCGATGGGAGGGTTTTGAGATCAGCCAATGCACCATGCACCATGCACAATGCACTCAAATCACTCGTTGAATCAAATCGTTGAATCGATGCAAATGAACCAATGCGCAGACCATGGCCAACACTGGGAACCACTTGGAAAGAGGAGATGGAATGCCGGCGGTTCGGAGCGATGATCCCAACTCCACAGGGCCCAGCGTTGGAGCCGCCTTGTCGTTCTCTTCTTCTGTCTGGCTGATCTCGAAGCTGTGGGATCGGACGAAGCGTGAACGACAGGGCTAAGCTGGGCTTCAGGGTCTGGCCGAGACTTCTTCCATCTCATCACACAGTTGTGTGAGGCAAGAAAAAGTGCAGCTGCTTGGGTGGATCCACCAGCAACGTGTATCCACCCGTCGTTGAACGGTCGTTTCGGTCAGTCACTCGTCCACCACGACTCAGAGTTCAGCGGCCAAGTGTGTGTTGGACCCGTTGGACAAGTGTTTGACGTCCACCGTACACCGTAGCAACAAACATCGTACGCCGGCCTCCCCTTGTCAGGGCTGTTCTACGAAAGTCCTGGACGGACTTTCGTAGGTCGGGGCGGTCACGCCCGGAGTAACGACTCACTTGTGAACCACTTCTCCCCCACCAGGGGCGACCACCACATCCCCAGCAAGCGCGTTAGCCCATATGCCTTGCTGTCATACATCGCGACCGGCGATGCGTTGGCCCCAAGGATGCTACAGCCTAGCGTCTGCACCCGGCCAGCGGTGCATCAACTGCCGCCAAATCATGGCTGCAGGGCTCTCTGACGTAGTGCCAGAGAGAACCCCTTCACAGTTGTCAGGGTTGACGCGTACAGCGTACATCATGTCACAGCGGCATCACCGTGCGCATCACACATCTGGTGCATCACCGTGTGCATCTGTGCTGTTGCTTGGAGGAGCTTATATACATTGACCCAGAGTGAACTCCTTCCGGGAGGTCAACGGAACAGAAAAGAGATGATCTGTCGGTCTTGGGATGTGGCCCTTGTGTTCGCCAGTTCCAGATGCGGCCCTGGCATGCCCTTCCAGGTGATCGGTCGGTTGCTCTTGGGTCGTTTCGTCTCTCCTTCGATCCAGCTGGGTAGCCCAGCTGGGCGAACCACATCCCCCTCCGTGCTTTGGGGCGACCAAAAAGTCCAGAAAGACGAGTCTTCTCGTTTCATGGATGTGGCTTGGCAACCAGTTTTGGATGAGCCGAAGAGGACCAGATCGATGGAAAAAGGATGCGACAGAGAAGGATTTCGGTGTGTGTTTGTGTGTGCGCCCGACAAGTTCTCGTGAGTGTAGTACGAAAGGAAGGTTTTCTGGGACTGATCACTCCTCATTGAGCAACCAAGGTCAGCTTCAACTTAATACCACACCAGCTTGTTTTCTTTTCTTTGTACCACGTGAAGAGGCTAGGAGTCTCAAGACTTGCAGCGGCTGTGAACACTTTCAGCCATGCTTCATGCACCAAATTGGAGTCATCCCCCTTTTGCTAGCCCCCTCTTCTAACGTCATTTGTTGAGATGACAGCTATAGGGGACCTAGAGACAACAGGCTTTGTTCAACATTTTTGATGTCTCCAACCTACTTGCGATGGCCTCCAACCCAATAGCAAAAGGAACCTAATAGCGATGGCCTTCACCCTAGTAGCGATGGCCTATGATATCACGATCACTCTTCCATTCTTCAGGCCGCGCATCTGCAACGCGTTGAAGAAGTTCACTTCAGAGCCTCGACCGTCGGCGGATTGCAAGTTTGTTGATGGAAGAAGCGTGGAGGCAACGACGTCCAGAAACATCTTCCAGATGTCGTCTCTGAAGGATTCAAGGGATTTATTCGGTCCTTGTCTCACAGGTCAAGTCCGGCACAACATCAAGTCCTACTGCTGCTGTCGCCACAACGAGCATCCCGAGCATCCCCTGGTTGGTCCTTCTCCTCATGTGGGCCAAATCCACTGGGGTGAACATCCCCAAACTGCTTCAAGCAGCAAAAATCCTTCACCTGGGACTGTTTGGGGATGCTGTCTTTTGTTTCAGGTGCTGAGTCTGTGTCTTGGTGCTTTTAGAGAGCTTTCTTGTGAACCGCCAACGACATGCCGAGATCGTCGAGCCCGAATTTCAGTGCTTCAGCGCCTCCGGGCGGATAGAAGGGATAAACGCCTTCCTTCTGCTTGATGCCGTCCTAGCGGGGTGGGGCCAACCAGCGGCAGGAACTTGGGACCCTCGATTCTTCTTGTTCACCTCGTTACCTCGGCAGGGGTCGCTACTTTTTGGCGCAGATTTGATGGTAACATGTCCGACGGGGATTTCGGAACGGGATCTATCAGTTTTGTGTTGAGAACTCCAAACAGCACGAGATCTCATGAGGAGCGTCGATGACTCGCTTGACGTCGATGGCACTCGCTCTGTTTTCCCGGAGCTGGGTCCGAGCAGTGCATGCTAAAAGGTATCGAAAACAGGTTTCAGATGGGCTTCTGCAAGGCAAGTCTGATGATCAACTCCCCCATCATCACCTGCTGAGAAAAACACTGCTGACTAAACAACTCATGTACACCCCATCATCCTCAAAACTGACCGACCGGTATAGGGTCCGACCGCTGAAGCTTCGTCTGTACGTGATCATGCACTATCCAAGATCTCCTATCAACCTCTTTGTTCGCACGCGCCAGAACTCCACGCCAGTCACGTCCGCTCAGCTTTCGCGTGCTCCGCTCCATGCTCGCCCCCGTGCTCCTTGCGCCGCTGCTGCAGCTCGTGGGCGCTCAGTTGGAGCTGCTCATCCTTGGCCACCTGGTTCAAGCGCCGCGCCTGGGGGGTGGAGGCGGAGCAGCTGAGGTGGTGCTGAGGTGGTGGTGGGGTGGTGAGCAGAAAACGGTTTCTTTAGGGTGGAATAACGTATGAAAACAAGTCGTCATGGACATAGTTTCTTCATGTATTTTTTCTCCATATCTTGGGATGACAGTGCTAAGGATTTCATTAATAGGATTTCCACTTTTGTGAAGGACAGTGGGTGAATCAAGTATAAGTAATACCTAGTATCGAAAAACCACAACACTTTTCCAGTCTGCCAAGCACTTTCCCAGCTCACTCAGCCATCCATCTACCTGGACTTCGTGTAGTCAAATTAAACCGATGTTACACCATGCAGTCACTTCCCCCGGTCACTCTGTTGGCCTTCGCGTGTGACGCTGGACTCGCCGGACTGGCCTTTTCCTCTTCATTCTCCGGACAATTGTCGAAGTAGTAGATCTCGGCGTTTTCCTTGCGCGCTCGGCCGCTGCCCTGGATATGACCTGGGCGGCTCAGCCGTCAGGGTGAGGAAGAAGATGACGTAGCGGGGGTCCGGTATGAACATCGAACCGCTTGGCTCGACGTGTCATTTTTTTGGGTCTCTGACGACAAACTTAGACCAGTCTCCGATCTTTAGACTAGGAGCAAGAAACTACTTAGTAACAAAGGGCATCGCTACTAGGAGCAAGGACGCTACTTGGGGCGCTCCCGGCCTTACTAGTAACAAAGGGCTGTATCAGTTCTCCGGCCACAGTGCACCAGTGACCCGGGTCTCAGTGGTTCCCGCTCAGCGGCTCTTGGTGGTGTGGAACTTGTTGAATCGAATCACGAAGGCGCAATCCTCGGGTGCTTCGACACCAAAAAACAAAACTGCCGAAAAAGTCTGTGCATGATTTTTGGGGGCACGAGTACTCTAGTGTTTCTGAGTGCCACTATAGATCGAGGTGTGTATACCATGCTTATACATAAAGTCTATAGCACATGACATATACCTGGTTCGTTCGTTTCTTTTCTGTCCATCCGAATCGCCCTTCCGGCCCTTCCACGACACGCCCAAGGATCCGAGACATCGACGCCCTCTTCCAGGGCATTGGTACACACCAGGACCTCGGTGACATCCGTCGATCGGAGCTGGAGCAGCAAGCAGCGCGAGCTCCGGAGCGGCTCCAAGGGACGCGGCTCGCAGGGCTGAGCGGCTTTTCTCTCCAAGGGACGCACCATCCTCTGGCTTTCATCTAGCGGCTTTTCGGAATCAGTATCAGATATATCAACCAAGGGTCTATAGAAAGTGGCACATGACAAGACAATCCGACGGCTTCCATGGCGAGATCCGGGCGCCTTCGCGGACGCCACGCGACGCGACGCTTTCGCCGGGGGCCCCACCTGTACCTGACCACGCCGGAACTCCTCCATCTGCTTGGAGCGTACGCCTCGGGTTCTTCCGCGGAGGCCGGGAGTCCAATATGGTGAGCTCTCCCCAAAGCCATGGTGACATCGGAGATCAACGGGTGTGGTATGATGTGGTGGAAGAGAAGCACAACATCCAGGAGTTGAACAGTCTGTATTCATCTGGATACTCAATCCAATCCATCATCCATCCCAGTAATAACCACCCGGTGGTCTTTTACGGCTTTTCTTTTCGTTTGGCCCCTTCTTTTGATCCAAAACCCATCTCTTGCTCCGTTCGCATTTTCCACCTGACCCCCCGCACTCCATCCCCTGACTCCTCCGGCCCTCGGCGAACCCACTCGCCACGCCACGCCAAGCCACTCTCGGTCATCGACCCGCCGCCCGAGATGGCCGCGGCCGAGGGCCCGCCGTTTCCGCCGAGGCGAGACGTGATGAGATGCGCCAAGGGCAAGGTGAGCGTCACCTCCGTGCGCCGTGGAGCGGCGTGGTGGTGGCGTGGGGTAAGGCGTGGAGGTGTTTTGGAACATCGGTCAGGTCAGGAGAAGGGCCGGCAGGTGTTGAGTTCTTCTGTTTTTTTCCAACAGCACGAATGGAAGAATGGAAGAACTCACACTTGCCGCCCCACATTGGATCCTTTGATCGTTTCTGGCCAACGGTGTCCTCGAACGAACCCAGCTTCGACGCCCCCTCAAACCACGCGGACGTCGCGCGTGAGGCACGAAAGGCACCTGCTCCACAAAAATGATTCCACGGTAGCCAGAGTCCTTGACACCAAATGCATGGTGGACACATTCTTCTGTAGTCGGAGACAACGCGTTTGAAGCTAGAGATGTTCACATTCTTTTTGACTTTTTGATTAAACCAAACCACGCATCTTTTTGATTAAACCATATTGTTTAGCCATCAACAGCGCAAGAAAGTTCGGATTCTCAGCTTTCAACTTGGAATAGGTTAATCAATCCTTAGCCTAAAAAATCCCTTTGCACATCAGCAACATTCACCGACATGGTACTTGGATCGTCACTTGTTCACCGAAACACCAGCATAAAACACAAGCAAGCAAAGTTGCGGACACTCACACCAAAACAAAAGAAGTCAATGAATTCTAGTTCGTGTGTTTTTTCAGCTCAACTTCTCCAGATCTGGGAAGCTTTACGCCACCTGGCCATGTTCCCCACACACACTGCGCCTGCGCGTGCGCGGCGAAGAGCCGCATCACCAGCCGCAGCAGCTCCTCGGCCTTGGCCGAGACCGGGGGCGCCTGCTGCAGCGCCGATGGAGCGCCGCCTAGCGGGGTCGAAGGCAGAGGAAAAGGAGAGCAAAAGGAAAGCCGTTCGTTTTCTTCCTTTCTCCGTTTACCATTTTATTTTTGAATATTTTTGGGAACGAACATTTTATCCCTTTCAGGAGAAGCCGAGAAGAAGCCTTGAAGCCTAACTGAGAGGAGCTCCCCGAAACTATTGGACACCATTGGGTTCATCAGGGTGTTCCCACTTGGTCATAACAAACACAGAAATGGCCATCAGGGCGTTCCAAGAACAAGACCAAGCAGAATGGCCCTGACCGGGCCGTGAGAACGGCACGACGATCTTCATGAGAACCAGGCGGATCTAGTCTTCAATACAGTCACCACAATGACCTCGACCTGTTGTCCAATGACACCCAACAACAAACATCTCAACGAATCGTCCCCCCACAGTTCCAACGACTTCGACTTCCTCCGACGCGGAAGTCCCCCCACCCCCCCGGCCAACCGGCACGAAGACCTGCGCCCAGGGCATCGGCGATCTCTTGAAGGCTCCGGCTCAAGGACGGGATCTGATGTCCTCCCGACGCGAGCGCCACGAGCGACACGAGACGAGAGACTCGCGTTTCGTGCCGCTTTCTTCGTGACGGTCGTGTCGCCGTAAAGGCGGACAGGACGTCCAGAGGCGTCTCTTGGAGATAACGATGATGACCAAGAGAAGTCACTGATCACATTATGTGATCACTAAATGTTGAAGACGTGGCCTGAAGACATCCTCTTGACTATCGCCAAGGATGTTGGCGCAGCACGACTCAAGGATCAGGTTCATTTGCCCTTTCTCCTTTGCCCTTTGGGAAGCGACCATCGCGTTGCACTCTTTTCCGAGGAAGCGACCCTTCATCGGCTCAAGGGGCACTACCGTTGGCACTACCTGCACTTTTCAAGGTGGACACTGTGAGCTCATCTTCCTCCTCCTTTTTCCTGCTCTGAACTTCCGAATGACAACACCGCAACCCAAACTCCAGTCCCAAACCCAAGTGCAACCCCCTAAAACAGCTCCATCACCAGAACGCCCGCCCCGGCCTGTCGCCACCCCCCGAACAAACCCCGCCGAGGCACTGAGCCGCTGGGCGGCGCTGAGGCTCTGGGTGTCCTTCAAGGAGGCCAGTTGGTCGGCATGGGCTTCCAGCTGAGGCCGGATGCCTCGACCGACACGACCGCGGTGTGCGGTGTGCTGATCGCCGTCTGTGCCACGGGCGAAGGTTCGCGACGCTCCTGACCAGGATGAACAAGGGACAGAACCTGAACCGGCGATGGAAAGGGTGCCACCAACGGCATTAAGAGGGTATTGTTGTTCTTTTACCAGGAGAAGCAAATTAATTTCGAGTCTTGCTGGATCTTGACCCATCAAGCAACCCGGCAAGTTCAAGTCCCACAAACGAACGTCAACGAAGACCTGAAATCAAAGCCTTACTGGCTTCTCAGCTCAGTTCCAGAACTCCCCAGCAGCCAGTTTTGGACCTGGAGCCTTTGGAGACTCCCGTCCCCAAGCCCAAGCAAGACCCCTGCCTGGAACCACCGCCTCCTATGAGCCGCCCTTACACTCACCACACCCCGCGCTTGTGCTATCCCGCGCGCGCGTTGGCCGCGCGGAATCGCCGCCCAAGGGGCAATTCTTCAAGGCGTCTTGGAAGGCAGACCTGGACCGACGGTGGAAACGGACGGACTTCCCCCGACGGTGGACGAGACGAACGCGACGGCGCCAGGAGACGGGGGGTGGACGGTTGGAAGGAGTTTGGCGCGACGGTTCTTCACCCTTGACTAGGCCTATTTTGGTTGATGGCAATGATGTTGATGGCTTTCTGCAGAGATATCTGAGATGTATTTTCTGGATTTGAATCGGTGTCACCGGAAGCTCTAATGGATTTTTCGCATCCACACGTGTTGATTGGCTCGCACATGGCTTGGACTTCGTCCAGTTTGGCTCTGCTCGTTTTGTTTCAGTTGGCTTCCGCACTACGCATGTTGGCTTCGGATGGCCAGCGGACACTCCACTCAGTAGCCGCGCCACATGCCCAGCTCCTCCAGCACGTGGCATGTCCGGTTCACCAACTTCTTCGATTCCTTCACCTGGGACGTCCGCGGCGGCTGTCCGGCTGTCCGCGGTGCTTCACCCGTTCCAGGGCTTTCTGTCCCCACAAGAGGTGTCTCTACACTTGAGGAGAACTGGTCGGTCAAAGCTATCACGGATTTTCTTCGCAGCCGATCAGGTGGCATTCCCGGCAGCTCAGCACTTGGTCACGCAACCCTCGCTTTGATCTTTATCTACGACCCAAGCAGGACAACATTAGGACAATCATTCTTTTCTTCTGCACACTATGTTATCACCGGCTCTGTTTCCGCGCGGTTTCACCATGCGTCCTCAAACCTCCAAGCCACTGGCATCTCCACGGTTCGCTCGAACTTTCTCAGTAGCGCTTCGAGCTGGTCTTTGGCTTCCTGGACACCGGTCGCCCACGCGGGACGACCACGAACAACTTCTGGCCGTCTATCTCTCTCTCTCTCTCTGATGGAAAACCGGGGATTGCTCTCGCTTCGGGGAAAACATGAGAATTCAGGAGAAATCTCCGTGAAGGGCGAAGACTAAGATCGCACACATCACCACATGGTGATGCGCGCAAACATTCAACCAAGCCCTGTTGATTCTTCGAAGATCAACTATCCCGAAGCGACGCAAGCCTACTAAGCCTACCAACTTCCTCGCTGAGCTGCTCTATGCTCTTTTTGAAGTCCCAAACACCTTGTCTATAGTTCAGATAGGCCGAACCCAACCCCGCACCTGCCGGTGTGGAATGCTTCTTCACCAACGACGGACAGAGTCTACGACGCTCGCTCCGACCGGCCACGACCCGAACCGATCGGTCCAAGACCTGAACCGCCGACCGACCTGGGCGCGGCGGAAAAGAGGCACGGTCCCGACGTACGTGGAGAGTCTGTCCTTGCAGGCCTCCGGGGTCACATTTTCTTGAAAGTCCACATAGCCTGGGTCATTCTGAGCATCTCTGGGTGGTGAGTTCTGAGTTCTGGTTCCTGAAAAGGTGACGATTCCAAAAGAGCTGATGGTGAGCTCACGGCTGGCTGCCCTGGACTCGGGCAAATCTCTAGCAAAACAAGATGGAGCCCACGAACCCGAATGCAAACACATACGTCAAACCACTGCGTATAAAAAGAGACATAGCCGGTCAGAATCTCTTTTTCACTCTCTGGCACGCTGTTGGACATCATGCGCTGGGGACTCCACCACCAAGGCAGCATGCGCTGGGGACTTCACCACCAAGCTCCGTCTTCATCATGAAGGGTCTTTGTTTTGCATTCAAATCAAGCACTGGCGTAAAGGTTCTGGCAGATCCGCGGCACGAAAGAAACAATGGCATTGTCCCAAAATCTCGAAAATAAGCACTTGAAAATGATAACCGTCCACATAATACAGAGAAATCCACAACTGCGGCGTCTGATCTTCTTGTAAATAGGAGTGTAAGACCGTGCGTTGTTGTGGTTCGCCTGCATCGACAAGAAGTATATGAGACACACACAACGGAAGTGAAGAAAACTATCCTATAGGTTATGTCATTAGTCCAACATTCGTATGGATTTATCGCGCACGCGTTTGTTAGATGTGTCACCGGGGCCTCGAACAACAGACGTCTGGGTCCAAGTATTTCCAGCAATGATGAAGCCAAGATTGAGCTCCGTGGCCAACGCAACAAAGTCGACGTCTGTTGCCCAATGAGTATTCCCACAAGTTTCGAGAGCAGCACTCACGGCATGCTGCAAAGACACCAGGGCCGCAGTGCCAGAACGCACTCTCTTGCTCCTCGTCACGGAGCTGTCGCCCTCTTTGTAGCGAACTAGCATGGCGTCGTCTACAACTTCTGCTCCGAGGACATCGTTGGCGTCTTTCAAGAAAGCAAAAGGAGAGCCACGCAAGAGTGCGATCATGGACCAGTCGTCCAGCCATGTCCTCGCAGCTTCGCGCACCAAACACCCGACGACGAAGTTCAAGAATGCTTTTGGCGTCTTGGCGCGCATGTGTTGCCCGACAATCTTGCGGAGAGCAGCCGCGACCGTAGTTCGGTCGTCCCAGTCAGTCACTTCATCGGAAGTGAAAAGATTCAAGAGTCGTGGGTGGACCGCTCGCGCCTGCATCAGGACGACCGCAGTGGACAAGAAGAAGCAATCGCCGCCTCCACCAGCTTCGGCGGCAAAGACACGCAGAGCCCCGTGTTCTCGGAAAAATTGTGCCGTGGGAGTGGCCACCTCTTCCAGCACAAGAGACCAGATGTCGCAGAAATCCGTTCGCAGCTGACGCCACTTGGTGGGGTCGTACTTCCTTTTGGTTCCCCTGAACTCAGTCACTACACTCGCCCTCGTAGCCGCCGTCCAAGCCCCTGGGACGTACTGAAAGCGACCCTCTGGTGTTCTGCGGGTCGGTCGCGGTAGGTGTTCCGCGGCTGGAAAACCAGGCAGATGTCTGCGAGCTTCTTCGATTGCAGAGCGAGACAAAAGCGCAACCTCCTGCAAACAATGATACAAGATCGACACACGCGCGGTTGCGGATGGTATGACTCGTGGCTATTTCATATGTTATCACTCGAGCAGTGTGAATCAGTCCGTGGATATCCAACATAGCACATTAAACAAGCCAACAAGTCCTGCAGTCGATCCAAAAACTCGGCAATATACGCAGGTGGACCAGTCTCAAAGATTGAAAAATCAATATCGCCTTCTGGCGTCTCCGGTAAATTGCGAAATAAGGAATACTCGAGAGCTTGAGCGCGTCCAAGAATCATGTACAAGTGCTGCGTATAATCGTCTGCCGAAAAATAATCTGGTTTCGAAAAATCAATCGTGTGCCCAACTCCTTTGATGGTCTTGCCTTGGGCATTGTTGTAGGTTCCAGCAGCCAGCGGAGCAAGAGGATACTGTATCCGAGTAACATCCAACATCAAGGCTCCTTTGCGATGCAATTGCACGCGGAAAGAATCTTCACTCGGTTCTAAATGCCACACTCCAGGCAGAAGCTGTCCAGTATAATCTTCTTGCTGATCCTGTTGCAAGTCAGGTGTGACTCAGAGATACATGGGTCCTACAGAAGGTTAGATTAAACTGTCTAAAAACCGATGTTCACAAACTATGCAGGACACTTGTCTTCAGTCACATCCGCGTATATCAGACTATATTTAGTTGCAGGCCCAGGCCTCAATACGCAAGGTAATCGAGGCAGGGAGATAGTCCAGGCGAACATATCCAGTCTCCCAGCACGGATGCGATCCCGCGGGGACTCCACCACCGGCGGGCGGGCCAGGCACGCCAAAGCGTTCGTTGGGATGAAATTGAATGGCGATCACCTCGGCCGGACACTCTTGCACGATTTCTGGTGGCAAGAGTTTCTTCGTCACCTTCACCTTCAAGCCCAAGTGCAGCGGTAGAAACGACATGAGGTTGCCAGTTTTACTTGCCATGTTGGTCAAGCCCAGAATCTCGCGCAGAATGGATTTATCGTTGGTGAACTCACTTTGATGCACCAAATCCACTGCTTGAACGTAGTAGAGCAGACGACCTTTGTCATGTAGCAACGACGTCAAGAAGGATTCCTGCTTGGCGAAGACCGCTCCGAAGCGAGACTGAAAGGACCTCGAAAGATACGTCGGAAAGTGTCGACGAATCAGCTGGGGACGTCCAGTCTGGGTGTTGCGGAAAGCTGCAACACCAAAGCTCGCGCGAGCAGACTCGTATGCGCACAACTGCTGGAGACGAGCCACCTGGTCCCAGTTCACTGCGCTGAAGACACCGCGCGCGAAGAAACCTGGAGGCCCGGTGGGCGCAGTGGAGCCTGAAGCCATGGTGTAATCGCTGCTCAGACGAGGATCGCCTCCCAGCGGGCGATACACCTGCTTGCGAATGGCCTCCTTCAGAGCCGTAGACAAGGGACGACCCCCGACCACTCGCATCGTCTCCAAGAGCTCGGCCAACGGATCTCCTTTCCGAAAGCGGTGAGAGCCTCTGAACAAGATGACCTGTTTCAGAAAGGCGCGAAAGACTGCAAGTCCATGTTCATCGATGTCGACTTTCTTCCTGCGCTGTTGGTCGTCCATCTTCTCGTATCGCGGCGCCCCCGGCACTTCAATGCCGAAGGCTTCCATGAGGGATCTGGCTCGCACGGGGTTCAAATGCAAGAAGTCACCAGCCAAAATCTGACACAAGACATTGCCGAAAATGTTGCTCAGAAAATCCTCCGGAGAAAGGTCGAAACGACCATAGCAGGCCGATCCGTGTAGCACTGCCAACAAATTCGGTGCAGTCAAGCTAATCTCATCAACAAACACCAGCGAAAGCCGCCACCACTTACGCTGCAAAGCCTCCTTCTTGGTCTTAGAGGGCTTTTGCAGCAACAGCTCTTGCGCCCGTGTGAGACCAGCCATATGGTGGAACGTGCTTCCTCCTATGAGTCGAGCGGCAGAGTTTTGGGCAGCGACCCCTCGGGTGGTCCCAGGTAGAAACTCGTTGTAGACCGGGAGGATGACTTCTTTCAGCATGAAAGTTTTGCCGCTCCCTCCAGGTCCATGTACAAAAATACGCGCCACCATGTCCTACGTGGGCTCACGAGCAAAAGGAACACGCAACAACCTAATCCAAAATCTATATTTCGCCAACGGGGTGTGATCATTGCGCAAATGAAGTCGTACATTCTCTATGTAAAATACAAAAATCATGTATCCTTGCTACAAGCTATGTTTATGTCATTAATTAGACATTTAGTTCCGCCGATGGAAGCGCGTGGGCACGCGAAATTTTGGACTCCATAATCCTTCTCAACCAAAGCCAACAACGGGTCAAGTCGAGTGCGATCTCCGAAGCAGTGAGCCAGTCCAGCTTCGTTGGCTTTGTTCCACAGGCGCTGCAACGGGCGAGGATCACAGCATTGTACTGATCTGGAGAGATTGCATACTCTGCTCCGTCTTGGTGAGTGGACTGAAGCACAGGTAGCTTCTGCTGCACCAGCTGCAAAGCTTTCTCAGCCGGAGACAAAGTCAACACCGCTGCCACAGGGGCCAAGCCGGCCTCAACGTCTCGTGTAGAGATGTCAACGCATTCATCGTCTGTGTCATGTGCTTGACCCAGTTCCGCATCCTTGCGAGACTCCTGGAGTGCTTTTTGCTGTTGCAGGCCACTCAACACTTCTTGGGTGGTAGACGTCTTCGAATCGATTTCACGCCCGCGCAGACAAGAGCGTGGCTGCTGCAGTTCCTCATATTTCGTAGCATATTGCTTCACGAACTCAGCCGAACGCTTGGTGCTGGAACTGGTTCTGCCTGGACCGCTGGTTTTCACATTCAATCTGTGCGCCAAGCCCAAGACATCTTTTTGATCCACGTGCAGGCGAG